TAGGCTTTCTGTGCTCCATTGTCCTTGTTAACTGGTATCTGATTGTAGAGGCAGTAGCACTAGTTTTGTAGTTGTGAAATATGCTCATACTGCTGCCCTGTAAATATCCAGAAAAGTAAGCTTCTTAGTTAATAATATGTACTTGTTAGTGCTGCTAATTTCATTGTAATCAATTATGTTCATGTGTTTATAGAAATAATTTATGAAGTGTACATCTGAACACTGTTCATGACAGTGGAAAGTAACTGCAGATGGACACTTTGCTTAAGTGCTCTGGGAGCAGTGCCAGAGACCTCCTGCATGCTGAGAAAGAAGAAAGTCTATTTGATCAGCACTTCTAAGGAGCCATCATTTTGGGGAGACAATTCTCACTGTTCAGTTTAGTGCCTTTCATTGTAACTGCCTTCAACATTAGTGTTGGATTAAGGTAGTTTTGAAAAAGTCTTGCCTGCAGCTGGTGGTAAAGCAACTACACGTGAACACATTGATCATCAGGTAAAAGGTGGAGGATTGATGTGTTGCAGTGACATCCTAGTGGGGCTTACAAATACAGTCTTGGTAATTTTCCTGCATATCATCTTGAAGTTAAATAGCCCTTGAAAATTAATTAGCATTTAAACAAATTTAGAAACAAGAACTGATATGACTTATGAAAAGTTGAAGAGGAACATATTTTGAAAAGAAAGTATCTGTTCTGAATCATACCTGAAGAGTATAACTGGCTTTCAGCTTTTATATTGCATTTTCTTCTTTAATGTAGCCACTATCATTGAAGTACTGTAATAAAATCTGTTTACATATGAAAAATGGAAACTATTAAGAGAAATATGATATTAAGGATAAAATTATTTCTGATATTTAAAAAGGTATTAAGTCTGTAAGAAGAATCAAGTCCCTGAAAGGTCCACATTGACATACCTTTTCAAATAAGGTGCTTTGTACTCTGGCAGTGTAAGAAAGACTGTTGCTTCTACAGTCCCTAAGTAGCAGGGATGTGTGTCAGTGGTGAAGAGTTTGGGAACTGTCTAGAAAGTCATAAAGGGAAACCTAGAACACTTTCAAACCCAGATGCTAATGTAATACCAAACCTCTTTGGAAAACTGGATAGAGAAATATAATAAAAATAATTGTGTAGATAAAGGGCAGTTCATCTGATTGTTTTGTTCAAGCAGCTGTAAGAGAACATAATACCTGGAACATAGCTAAACTTAATTCAGTCCAGTCATCACAAAAGTCCAGTAGCATTGGCTTTAACTTGGCTGTTCAAAATACTAGTTACTAACATTGGAGATGTCTTTTTTTTTTTTTTTTTTTTTTTTTTTTTTTTTCTTCAGGTTGAGCCTCAAAATATAGCAGAAAACAGCTTTTGGGTAAAAGCTGAAGAAGATAAATTTGAAAATCCAGAGCTGTTTGCAAAATTAGCACTTACCTTTGGAACACAAATGAAAGGTATGTTATTCTTTTACTTGTATTTTCCTTTAATTGAGTTTAAACTGTGCAATGATAGGCTCTTCTATGCTTTGTGCAATACCATGGAATTCATATGACGGCTTTATAGCAGGAAGACTATGTGAAAGTGTGTTTTTATGCATCATAGCTGCTCCTTCCCTTTACAGCATGAGAGGAGGAACCTTTTTTAATAATACCTCTTAGAAATGCAGGGTATGTTACAGAGAGATGCAGATTTTCCTCACATTAATTAAATTTAAATTCTAATCCTAAAATCATGCTTGTCTGCATTACTATTCGTAGCTGCAGGAACTCTTAAGTTGCCAAGTTCTTTTAGATATTTTGCACGTGCAGAGTTTGTTGTGTAACAGATATTTGCTTACTTATATCATGCTACTAAATCAAAATCCTCTATAAGTATGTAGCAATTACAATACGCAGCTGAATCACAAAATCACAACTCTGTAATATGCCTAAAGTTAGGATTCTGGAACATGTGGGCTGAAACTATTGTTCTTTCCAGCGTTCTTGTGTTTATGTCATTAGTCTTTGATTTTACTTTTTTTTTTTTAAATATTTTTTAAATATTATAGCAGCTCTGTTAAGAGAAAAAGAAAAAAACCCTTGAAATTTACTCCTTCTGGCTAGTATTTAAATGTGTTGTGTAATCTAAGAAGCACCCCCCCCAGGTTATATACAGCTTAACTACATTGTTACTGTCATAGTCAGTGATGTAAGTTAGTTTTCAAAGGGCTGAATGTGTGAGTGCACACTATTTAAAATGTTTGCATAATATCATGGTAAAGTGTTAGACAGTCTACTGGTTTTTGTTGGAACACTGTGGAATGGTTCTGTTTGACTACTAGTGAGAACAGTGCAGTGAAAATAGAAACTGCTGGAGCTTTCTGTCAAATGTAACTGAAGCTGCTGAGCAGGTCATATAAATAGGCCTTCTTACTGTTGGTTTTAGGTGAAAAATCATTCATTTCTCAAACACTTAATTCCTTCAGTGGGAGGTATGATGATATTTATAACTTTAGTAACTGTCTTCCCAACTCAAAACTGACTACTGGTTATGAATTTTGATACTTGAATACCGTCTTCAGCTCTTTGTGGTTTTCAAATGGCCTTTGAGTACTTCTGAAGCTGCACACAGCCTCTTCAAGTCTTTTCATTATTATCCACGGGTAATGGCCAATTGATCAGTATTTCATATGTGGCTCTTTGCTGGTAATTTGTTTCAGGCACTGAAAAAGAAGCAAGTACCGTTGAGGTACGGTTCAATAATAACTTAATCAGGACCTAATGAGGAAACCCAACAAATTACAGTCGAAGGAGTGGCAGATACTGAAAGACTGAATTCTGCATGTCATTTTTCAGGCAGTTAGAATATTATATACTTTAGGGTTGTGCAGTTCTTGAAGGTAGATGGAGTCAGGTTTGTCAAGATGTTCATAGCCCAGATCTGAATAAGCGAACAGACACTTATGGTTTTGAAGTGAATGTGTGTACTGACAGTAAGCATTTTTGTGCTGCTCAGTTTTTTTTACTTTAGCTTTTTGGCTTTGAGAATCAGCAATTCATGTTGTGATTTCTCTTTTAATCATAAGGAGTCTTCTGTTTTAATTCAAACCACTAGAATGCTCTCATATCAATTAATCGAGGGTTTTATTACCTAAAATATAAGTTGTATTGCACACGGAGGTTTGTGGAATCCTGGTTATTGTCTGAATTTCAGGAATAAGAACTGCAGTTTATAGTAGCACAGTGTTTGAAAAGTTAATTTGGGTTAAGAAAGGTCTCTCAGAGGACTGTAACTTTTCTGAACCATTTCTTGAGTAGATTCCTTAGTTATTTCTGAATATGTCTTTTTCTGTGCTCTTTTCAAAGCCCTTCAGAGAGGTATTTACAGCTGTGTTTTTCATAAGATAAATATACAGGTCTCTGACTCAAAGCTTACACTCTT